TTTTTTTTTTGCTTTTAAAAGACAACATGCCCCCGGCTAAATGCGTGACGATGAGTGTGTTACCTTTGAGAGAAAAAAAGAAATTTGATTAACTGATTTAGACCGTATTATGTGGATTTTAGGCCCAGGGGGACTGTCAGGAGTATAGGCCTTGGCTGCTGCCACATCAGACCTCCTCTTGGGAAAGACGTTCTTTGATTCTCTCCCCTCAGAAGCAAACACTTCCTTGGAAGCTATATTCAGTTATCCTGTCTTCCCTACCCAATTCACCTCCCATCCGATGTGAGCAGCTGGGATCTAGGACTACGTTCGGCGCGTTTTTCACTCAGCCTGCAGCCCCACAGCCTGGGACACAAAGCATAACATTATGAATTTTCAAAAAACTCTCCCGTGTGAACATACTGCACACGGGAATGGACTGGGTTCCCACGCACTCGCCCGGACTGTCCCTTCCCTCTCTGCCCGGTGCCTTGGGGTCCAGGACACTGAACTCCAAGCAGAGAAGTGAGGAAATCACTTGGCTGGTCTCTACCAAAGTTCCTGCGCCCTGCCAACACAACCTGCTTGGATCATCTTTTTTGGAGAAGAGGGGACCTCTGTCCCGGCCTCAAAGAACTCGTCTCATGCTAGGGGGAAAAGAGGAAGAGGCTCAAGCTGTCTCTCTAGCTGCCGGATCCTGACTACTGAACCCGTGTTGCTTATCGGCCTCAGGGCAGCAATTACTTTCCCTTCCTTCCCTTGGGGGCTTGCATCGCCTCTCCTCTCCGGGAGGCGGGAGGCGTAGTTGTCGGGGTCACCTCGTCCTTCTCCCTCTGACCCGGCTCGCTCGCAGGCACCTGCGCTTTGCGGAGCTGTCGTTGACCAGGGCGAGGCATGACCCCAGCCAAAGGTTAAAGGGGCGGGAAGCACTGCTGACAAGGTTTGTGGGCTGTTTGCGGGCGCTCCGCCATTGCTCCAGATGTGCGGGGGCTTTTCTTTTCCCCTCTACTCACTTTGGCTCCGGTCCCTCACGACCTCGGGCTCCTCTTCATGTTCCTTAGGCCCGCTACACGAGTCTCGCAGGACTGTGTGGACGTAGCTCTGGGGACAGAGCCCCGAGCCCCCGTGGCCATCGGCTGTGGCTAGTGAGTTCAAATAGGACAGTTTGTCGCCCTCTTCTTCCTCGTCTTCTTCCCCTCCGTCAGAAAATTGAGTCCCCTCGGTGGCGGCCAGCATGCACGGTGCGGAGTGGAAGTGGTGCTCCAAGTCCGCCTGCAAGTGCGCGCCGTGGAAGTGCTGTTGCTGCTGCTGCTCCAGATTCAAAATGTCTTTGACTGAGAAAGGGGTGGAGGTGACCGGGCTTGGTAACATCATCAGGGCCACTTAATTGTCCAGTCCAAATACTCAATAAATCCCGGCGGGGGCGGGGAAGTAGTGCAGCGGCTCCAGCTCTCCTTCTGGACTCTGCCGCTGCTGCCGAGTCGGGTTTTTGACAGACGCGGTCCCGCTCCAGTCTAAATCGCCTCCATTGGCCCGGACCTGGGGGTCTGGGTTTTGTTACAGCCACTGCAGGGACTGGAGCCGGGGCTGCGAAGCCTGTGTCCGGGGGTCGTGCGTCACGTCGGGGGCGGGGCTCTCGCCTCGGCCTCCCTCCGCATTGGCTCCGGCTCATGTGGACCACGCCCCCCGCATCCACTGTGTGGGGTGCTGTGGCGCTACCAGAAATAAAGGACTAGTATAGAGTCGTGAAGTCCAAGTCGTTGTGGGTAAGGCTGCAATGCCCCGGGTGCCCGAACTACCGATTCCCGCCCCGCCTGGCTGTACCTTTCCGGCCGGGGCCAGTTCTGGGAGGCTTCCTGTCCATGAGCCAACTGCCAGGAAGAATGGCCCAGGAGCGTGGCTTTTCCCAGCTGCTATGGGGCAAGAAAACTTCCTGGCCCATAAATACCGGCCACAGGATTCCCAAGAAGACGGATTGTTTTGTATATCTATGGATGGGCAACGTGTCTGTTCCCGACTTGTTGACTTTGCTTAAGCTGTTCCCTCCACTTGGAACGTCTTCCTTGCCCTTGTTTCCATGAATGGAAAGCTGTTCTCCAAGGCTCTGCTCAAATACTATCTCTCCGAGGAAGCGCTCCCTGATCGCCTAGCCGGAAGTCATCCCTCCCGCATCTGAACTCGCAGCGCGTGTTAGTAAAGGACGTTCGTGTCACTTATCACCTCTCACCCAGTAGTATATATTGCCGGCCTGGTGGCCCTGGGTAAACTATGAGCCCCCGAAGGAAAGGTCTCCGTTGTATTTGCCCTTGTAGCCCTTGCAGCTGCCGCGCGAAGCAGGTATGTGAGAGACAGGAGGATGGAGTTGTTAGTAAACTTGGTTGTCTGACCGCTCTTGGTTCCAATCCTGACGTAGTCAGTGGCCTTGGGCGTTTCTAAGCCTCAGTGTCTTTGCCTACAAAGAGGAGGTAGTAATACTTATTAAGAGGTTGTTGCCAGGGATAAAAGACAAAACATGCCAGGAGTTTAGTGCAGGGCCCCACACATATTAAGTGCTCGGTACACCTCAACTACCACTATTCTGCATCAGAGATCAAGCAGTGTTTGTTGACTGCATTGGTGATGGCGTGGCTGGATTGCTGCACACACTGGGTGGCTTCTTACGATCTTGAGAGCAGTATCTGTGACCCAGCCATGGAGGCCTTCTTTTCTGCATATTCAAACCGGGAACTTGGATCTAGGCCCTTACCCTCGGAGGCGGCTTTCTAATTTCTCCAACCCATACGCCTTCTGGCGCCCTCGTGTGGCCCTGGTTGTTTTCTGGGCGAATCTGTGGGGTCCCCTGAAGGTCTGGAAACTCCGCGCCGGTGGGGATCATCTTCTGCACAATAGGCGCTCGCCAGCCACCACGCCTCGCCCAGTGGGGAGCAGCGGGAGCTACTGTGAGGCCCACAGAAAGACCTGGCTCAGCACTGGCCTTGGAAAAAACAGAGACCGGTTCCAGCCCAACCGAGGCGCCCCATATCCGGCCCTGGCCGCCCCAAGCATTTTTTTTTTTCTCCGCCAAGATGGTGGGAGATCGGTCTCAGCTGGAAGGGGCGGGTGGAAGGTGCAGGGACTGTGGACAACGCCCCCGGGCGCGGCACACACGGCTAGAGTTGGGGCGAGCCGTGGAGAGCTGTCCTGCGGGTCCCGCTGCGTTGGGAGTTGTGGGTGCCCAAGGCCAAGAAGAGAAAGGCGGGAGGGGAGAGAGGCGGGGCTGTTCGGCAGCCAGCGGAAATGGTGCGGGGAGTCAGCCCCTGGGGCCGCCCGGAGAGCTGGGATGCGGCGCGGGCCACGTGCACCCGGGAGTACTTAGGGTGGCGGCGGCCCGCGGGTCGTGGGGGAGACCCTCTGTGGGAAGAGCCTTGCCGGTGCCTCTCTTCTCAGAATTGAGACTATTGACGTCCCAGGCGGGGCCGGCTTCTCCAAACCAGGCCAGGGGCTGCAGGGAGAAGAATGCACCTGGTATTGCTGCGGATCGCAACCGCTCGGGCGCAAAGATCAAGAGAGAGAGGTGGGGGTGAGTGCGCGGCACTGTGGGGTGGGGGTCCTTGAGGGTGTGCGTCGCGTTGGCAGTCAAGCCTAAAAGAAGGAAGCTGCGCTCCAGCCCCACTCCTCCACTCCCATTCCCCGGAGCTAGACCATCTCCGACAACATTTCTGGTTCCCAAATTTTTCCGCCTCTTTGAGCGTTGGTTTTGTTTTGTTTGAGTGATTTTGAGTCAGGAAAAGAAAGAAAGAGAAAGAAAGAAAGAAAGAAAGAAAGAAAGAAAGAAAGAAAGAAAGAAAGAAAGAGAAGAAAGGTACCCGTTGCATTTCTCCTTCCTACCTTCTCTTGCTTCTCTGCAGCACTTCGTTCTTAAGCCTTCCCTAAGTCCATTCCTAAAGAACCCCCATCTTAGAACCCATGGCCGGGGGTGCTGGGAACAAGTCCATACGCCCGCTGCTGCTACCCGGAGGCCACCTGGTTGCCCCCTCACTGAGCACGAAGAAGGCTGTCTCCTCCCCACTTGCAGGCCCACGCGGTCGGCTCTCCCCCAAAGCCACTGCCACCCCTCTCCGGCCAGGTGCCCTTGTGCTAGGCCTGAGTGGTTCTCTCCTGCAGCTTCTGACCTCTTTGTTCCTGTCCCGGCCGCCCAGGGACATAGTTCAGTTCTGCCCGGCTGGAGGTGGGTGAGGATCCAGAGCGTGGGCAGCCCAGGGGAAGGGGCCTAGCGAGTGGTTTCGGTGCCCTGTCCCCCCTTTCTCTTCTCCTCTCTAATCTGACTCAGGGCTTGATCTAGCTGGCGGGAGGAAGACTTCTACCCGCTACCTAGAGCTGGGTTTGGCCTTAAACTTCGGCTTGCGTTTAGGACGTTTCCAGCTCTGCTCTCCTGGTTGTTCAGGCTCCCTTTGGTCGGTCTGGTTCCCCTGCAGCTGAGCTACGTACCAGGGATCCCCACCAGGCTAATCCTGTCTAGGCAGCCTGCCTTTCCTGCGCCCGCAGCCTGGGCGACCGTGAGCGCGTGAGCCGGCCGCTTCGAGCTGGTGTCCTGGAAGAAAATGCCAGGGCAGTAGTTACACTAAGTTACATTACCGCAGCGGTGGGTTCTTGGGAGTTACTTATCAGAATGTGGAATCTGGGTCCAACGAGGGTATTTAGTTATGATCGCATTCTGGGACATTTGCATTCTCTGGTCTGAAAAGAGGATCTTTGAAATCCTGGAGTTGTGCTCCAGTAATAGGTTTTCGTTCCAGTCAGTTTAGCTAATTACTGTCAGATAAAGTAAATATAGCTGCAACCAAGGACACATTTGATGTTGTTTTAATCGAATGTGTCTGCCTACTTACCCTCGGCTTTTGTCACATTACACATTTTTGAAAATCTCCCTCCTCCCATATATGATCAAAGATCATAGTAAAATGATGGCAAATTCAATGAAGGGGAAGAGCTGTATAGACGCATAAACGATGTATAATATTATTCGTTTTCTGGAGAAAAGCCATATGCTAGCCATCACAATAAATATATTATCAAATTAAAATGTGATGATTCTTTGAAACTGTAAAGTGTTCCCATAAGTTACTATTCTCTACACAAAAATTGCTTAATTAATATACATAGAAATACAGGCAGATAACCAATCATTTTAATTATATATGCCACTGCTTATGTTATTTCCTTTCAGCTATTCAAATAACCATTTAATGTAACCACAGTCACAAAAAAGTTTAAAGTTATCATGGCTTTCTACTCTAAATGTAACACCACAGTCAGAAGCTCTACTAAAGCATGAGAAACAATCCCATGATGTACACAGCTAGTCAAAACTATATAACATTTCAGGTAGGTTTTTTTAAATTTACTGTTTCATTTTTTACTGCTTTCCCAGAAATTTCATTTTCCTTGACTTATGAAAGAAAGAAGGAAAGAAAGAAAGAAAGAAAGAAAGAAAGAAAGAAAGAAAGAAAGAAAGAAAGAGAAAGAAGAAAGGCATTTCTTCTTTTCCTGTAGCACTAAATATATTCCTGTTATTTTGTTTTCGTTGTTGATGGTGGCATGTAAGTATGTGTTTTGGTTTGATTTTTAGCTGAAGGATGTTAGAAAGCTATCCTTTTCTTTCTTTCTTTTTTTGAGCAATCTAGAAGCACTCGTGTTTTGTGAGAAGAGTAAATACTTTTTCCACTTTTAAAGAAATGCCACCTACATAGGTGAGTCCCAGAAAGCATTAAACTGATCTAATCCCTTGAGAGGAATTTTCCCCAAGTTTCTGTAATTTTGTAAGATTTTAAAATGGAGTTTTGAGCATTTTAGTTTTGTTTTGTTTTTTTCTCATGTGTTTGTATAAATGCCAGATTTCCCCAGATTGTGTTTGGAATGGAGTTTTCTAAGCAACCCACCACTTCCCTTCCCTGGGAGAAAATCAGTCCAAGTTCAATAATCCAAGTAGTTCTTCGTAAATTGCCGGCCCTTACTGAGGATGTGAGTTTCGATTTCTCAGGGAGAGGACCTTCCACATCTATCTTATGTGTATCTGCCCCACTCCAAAAAGTTTTTAAATAATGTAAATACAATGTAAATACAGCTTTTGTCAACAATAGCGGTTCTGTTCTGCTGATAAAACACAAGGAAAAAAGCCAACTTTGTTGAATGAAAATTCAATATTTTAAAAAACAAAATACCTACCTAAAGGATGCCTATACAGACATTTATTTATGCTATTTGCGTGTGCTATTTGGAAGTGCAGTGAGCAATTTTAACTTGGGGATTAAATTGGAATTCTGGAGGCATTCCTTACGTTTTATTATTTGTGTGTGTGTGTGTGTGTGTGTGTGTGAGAGAGAGAGAGAGAGAGA